TTAAATTCTATTATCTACTCTTTCCATGAGAAAGTTTTATATACTTGTACTTCCTAAACTTAAAAACCAGGGGAAAAATTTCACAAATTCAACATGCTGATTTCCTCAGAACAAATTTAAGATCATTTACAGTGTGGTGAGATAACCATCTCTATCGTCATCTGTTAATCAGAAAGTAGCCCTTCTAGCAAATTTGCTTTGAATCTCCAGAACTGTGAGAAAAATATTTCTGCTGTTTATCAACCAACTGGTTAGTCTAAGTATGTTGACAGAGCAGCCTAAACAGACTAAAATAATATATGAAATCCTTTCATGTGCATTTTATTGGGTTTTTACTCCCTTTTTCACCAAAAACAAATGCTTACTGCATGCATTCTCCATGTTACAACAGTAGTATACAAACACAGAAACTATTTATTATGATAGCTCCTAAGTTTATTTTCCTTAATTTAAGCATTTTTAAACTAACTCAAATAAATACACATACTATTTTATTCTATTCTGCAACTTTCTCTAAATTTTTGCTCAATTCCATACTGGCCAAGTTGCCTCAAAACATCTCTTTCCACAACTGGCCCTACAACTTATGTCTGTATATGTACAACTCCCTTCCCTTTAGTAGTACCTCTCACTTCCTTCCATGATGGTAGCTACTAGATTAACAGTACTAGATAACCATTACATATAACCAACAACTTCCGTAAGAAACTTAATTTCTGTAAATAACAGACAAGATCAACAATACTTGAGATTTGAGTATCTACACACATACCTACATGTATACACATGTTATAATTTATATACATACACACACAATAAAATTATTGACACTAATAGCTGACCCTTTGATAGGGGTTAAGAAATCAGTAAAAATTGTCAAATTTCTACCTAGAATGATGACAAAAACAGAAATTTCCAACATCAGAAATGAAAAAGGGGACACTGCTATAAATCCTGCAGATGTCACGACAATATTTTAGGGGCTTGTTTTGTGGCTTATTAGGTTGGCTGTGGTCTGCAACAGTAGCATTCCATATTGGAGCACCAGTTTGAGTCCTGTCTGCTTCATTTGCAACACAGCTCTCTCCCTGTTAATATGCCTGAGAAAGCAGTGGAAGAAAGACAGGTCAAATCTTATGCCCTTGCCAACCCTGAGACAGACCCAGATGGAGTTAGGGATCCTGGATTTAGCCTGGACCAGCCCCAGCCATTGTAGCCACATGGAGTGAACCAGCAGAAGGAATACTGATCAATCAATTTTTTTCTCCCTTTTCCTTTTCATTTTTTTTTAAGATTTTATTTATTTATTGGAAAGTCAGATATACAGAGAGGAGGAGAGACAGAGAGGAAGCTCTTCTGTCCGATGATTCACTCCCCAAATGAGCGCAACGGCCGATGCTATCTATGCCAATCAGAAGCCAGGATCCAAGAACTTCTTCTGGGTATCCCACACGGGTGCAGGGTCCCAAAGCTTTGGGCCATCCTCAACTGCTTTCCTAGCAGGGAGCTGGATGGGAAGTGGAGCTGCCGGAATTAGAACCGGCGCCCGTAAGGCATCCCGGCGCGTTCAAGGTGAGGACTTTAGCTGCTAGGCCACACCACCGGGCCCTTTTTCTCCCTTAAGATTTACTCATTTTTATTGGAAAATCAGATTTATAGGGAGAAGGAGGTAGAGAGAAAAAGATCTTCCATCCACGGGTTCACTCTCCAAGGGGCTACAACGACTAGAGCTGAGCCTATCCAAAGTCAGGATCCAGGAGCTTCTTCCAGGTCTCCCACATGTGGGTGTAGGATCCCAAGGCTTTGGCCCATGCTCAACTGCTTTCCCAGGGCACAAGCAGGAAGCTGATGGGAAGCAGGGATACTGGGACAAGATCTGGCGCCCATATGGGATCCTGAAGCATGCAAGGTGAGGACTTCAGCTGCTAGGCCTTACATTCTGAGCTTACACTTTTAAACTATATCTCACTACGGGGCCAGCATAGTGGTGTAGAATGCTAATCCTCTGCCTGTGATGCCACAATCCCACATGGACAAAACAAGCCCCAGCTGCTCCACTTCCAATCCAGCTCTCTGTGATGGCCTAGGAAAGCAGTGGAGAGAACAGCTGTAGGCTTTGAACCCTGTACTCACATGAAACAACCAGAAGCAATGCCTAGCTCCCAGCTTTAGACCAGACCTGTTCTGACCATCGTAACCATTTCGGGAGTGAACTAGTCAATAGAAGATCTCTTTCTCTCTATCTTTCCCTCTCCCTCTATGACTTTTGAAAAAATAAATCTTTAAAATAAGTCAACTGTATGTCACTATAAATAATCATTCAAAATAACAATTTAAACATTTTATACCTATATACATACACACTCAGGTTTGAATCTTGGTTCACCTGTTTCATAGCAAAACTGGACAAACTGCTCAATAGCTCAGCAAAATCTGTAAAATACAGATAAGATAATAATATTGTCCCCAGGGCCAACACACTGGCTTAAAAGTTAATTCTCCCTGCCTGTAGTACCAGCATCCCATATGGATGCTTGTTTGAGTCCTGGCTACTCTACTTCCAATTCAGCTTCCTGCCTATGACCTGGGAAAGCAGCATAGCATGGCTCAAGCCCTGGAATCCCTGCACCCATGTGGGAGACCCAGATCAGCTCAGATCAGCCTAGCTCTGGCCATTGTGGCTACTTGGAGAATGACCCAATGAATGGAAGGTCTTGCCTCTCCTTCTCTATAATTCTTTCAGATAAAAATATATAAATCTATATAAGTGTCCCCCTCACAGGGATTTGACAAATACTAAATAAAAGAGAAAGAGAAAATAGACACACTAGATAAGATCATCTATGTAAAGCACTCATAGCAGAGTCTGTCATATAATAGACACTTAATAAATATTAATAGTTTCTATTATACACAATATACATGAAGTATGTCAGCATCTGGAGTCAGAGAAAGCACTAATTTTTACGTAGAATTGGCAAAAAAAACAAATAAAAATCATAAGATACAACTTTAGAAGTTCAGTGATATTTTCCAACAAATGAGTTACTTTTTATTATCCTTATTATTTCAATGCTCAGTAACAATATGTACCAAATATATTAAAGATTTTCAATAAATTGAAGTGAATTATTTCTGTACCTTGAGATGTCTTAATAGGCAAAGAAAAAAAAAGGTTATGAACTTCTGACTCTTAATTATTTGTTTCTGCTTTGAATGTGTTATAATTCAAAATTACACTTTCATTTAATTTCTAGATTGCTACAGTGCTTTCACATATTGCCAGTAAATACTCAAATGTCACTGTCTAGGAAAATATGAAAAGAATTAAAATGCTGTAAAAACAAATTATGGTGGACTTGGTGGCATGGCCTAGTGGCTTAAGTCCTCGCCTTGAACGCGCCAGGATCCCATATGCGTGCTGGTTCTAATCCCGGCAGCTCCACTTCCCATCCAGCTCCCTGCTTGTGGCTTGGGAAAGTGTCCTGGGTGGCCCTTAGGACCTTAGGACCCTGTACCCACATGGGAAACCTGGAAGAAGTTCCTGGCTCCTAGCTTTGAATCAGCTCAATCCCAGCCATTGTGGTCGCTTGGGGAATGAATCAACGGATGGAAGATCTTCCTCTCTGTCTCTCCTCCTCTCTGTGTATCTGACTTTACAATAAAAATAACAAATCTTAAAAAAAAAAAAAAAAAACGCAACAAATTTACAGCAACAGAAAAATGATAGAATATGTACGGAAAAGAAATATTAATGTCAAGAGTTGTCCGTATATTTCAATTAAATTAGTAAAATGCATGGCTCTGTTTCTTCACAGTTACAGCACTCCTTTTAATTCACAGCCTAATTTGAATATCAAATTGAAATCAAGCTGGAGATGAAAGCTGTTTTTCTATCACTGTTATACAAGTGGTCTCTGAGGATAGGTGCATTTATACATTTTAAGCTGTATACCTAACAACAAAATATTATTAGAAATAATTTCCCAAATATTTTTTTTCTGAGTGTCAGTTAAACCCACCTGCGTGAAAATACATAAACATGCACTTGACTTGATCCCTCATCCCTGCTGGGTTTTGTTGTTGTTGCTGCTTTTGGTTTTGTTTGGGGCTTTTAAAAAAATTTTACTTGAGTTATAAAGAGGCCTCACATTCACATATTCACTCCCCAAATGTTTGCAACAGCCCAAGCTGGGCTTATCTGAAGCTGGAGCCAGGAGTTTCTTCCGGGTCTCCCACATGGGACCCCAAAGCCTTAGCTTTGCCTTCCCATTCCCAGGTCATTGGCAGGGAGCTGAATTGGAAGTGGGGCATCCTGGACACAAACTGGTGCCTGTATGGATGCCAACTCAGCAGGCAAATGATTAGCTTGTGCAGCCACCACACTGGCCTCTCATTCCTGATATTTCTTAAACCAAATGACATCTGCACCAGACTGCAAATATTTCACTTGAATCTAAAGAGGTGCTGTAACTACGGACTGATTATTTTATAATCAATTAAGACAGAAAAGGATAAACAGCACAGTATTAGTGGTTATGGGGCTATATAATACTGAACAAAGCTGAACAACTCTAATTTTTAAAAAGTCTTAACCATTATGTATTCAATTATTTTAATTTCCATGTGCTAAAATTAATGTATTAAAATATTTAAATGATAAAAATTTACAGAGTAAGAAATAGAAGATATAAACCTGAAGAACAGCTTAATAGGGAAAAGTTCAAAAATGTTCAAATAAACACTTTAATGTATAATTTTACTATATTGTTTCTTATAAGAATCTCTAAAATAATTTATTGGCACTTGTTTCCAACCTATCTGTACAAATTCATGGCCAAATCTTATAAGATTTCTGGTTATTTGAATGTCTATAAATCTCAATGAAAGCAGCTTGGTTGTCAAAAGGATCACTAAGTCAGCAGATGTTTACAGAAATGCCTGCGGTGGGCCCAAAGACCCAAAGCAGCAGTTCTTAAAAATCAGAAATCGCTACTTACCAGCAAGAGTGTAATCCATATCAAAACCAAAACACTTTATCTTTTCCATGGCTAAACTTCGATTCACAAACACCCTATGGGAAAATAAATAGTGATATTGTAATTAATACTGAAAAAGAAATTCTGAGGTTTAATTAAATCATTTAGATTTTTTCCCACATCTATGCATTCTTCCAATTGTTTATTTTATTGCAGATATTTAAGGTACAACATGATGTGTTGATACACTTAATGTCACAGTGAAGTGACTAACTACAGCCAAGCAAATTAACACATTCATCAAGCCATTTAGTTACTCTTCATTACAAGTATCAAAAATCTGGGATCAGTACAGCTGATCAACTGGTCTAATCTTCCACCTGTACGCGCTAGTGGAATCCAGTATGGGTGGCTGTCCTGCCTGTGGCTGGGAAAAGCAGTGGAGCATGACCCAAAGCCTTGGGACCTTGCACCTGCAGCCACTGCAGTCATTTAGGGAGTGAACCAGCAGATGCAAGATCTGTCTCTCCTTCTCTCTGTAAAAATGACTCTCCAATAAAAATAAATAAATCTTCTTTAAAACAAAAAAAAAAAAAGGAGCGGAGTACCAAAAAATCCTTCTCACTTATGTTAGACTTCTTATCTTACATAATCACAACTCTATCCTCTGATCATCTTTCTATCCTGTCCACTACCAGGTTTTACTGATTTTATGTATTCAATTCTTTTTGAGATTCCACAGGTAAGTGAGACCATGAAATATTTTCCTGTCTCTGACATTTCACTCAGCAGAATACCCTCCAGATTCATCCATGTTGTTCAACTGGTAGCTCTTATGAGGATCAGTAATATTTATGTATGTACAACTCTTTGCCCATGTTTCCACAGACAGACATTTTGGTAGTTTCTTCAGCTTGGCTATTGTGAATAGTGCTGAATAAACATGAAGTACAGACAGAGAACTTTATAAGTTGATACTTTCATCTCTTTTGGGTACATATGCAGAGGAGAGATTGCTAAGTCATAGAGTAGATACCTTCAATTTCTTTAGAACCTTTGTTAGACCACACTGATTGACATCCCAGCAGTAGTGTTCCAATGTGTCAATGCTTACTCCTTTCGTTTAAGGGGCGAACAAAAAGGCTATTCTAACAGACTGGTAGTTCCTTGTGCTATGGACTTCCATTCCCCTGATTAGTTAGGTAGAGCATCTTCGCATATCCCTTGTCAGTCACACGCATTTCTTTTTTGGAGAAATATCTATTCAGGCCCTTTGCTTTTGAATTTTATTATTATAATTATTATTATTATAGTGAGTTGGTGAGTTCCTTATATACTTTAGATATTAACTCCTAATCAGATACATAGTTCACAAATATTCATTCCCAAGACACAGGTTATCTCTTCATCTTGACTACTTCCTTTGCTGCATAAGCACTTTTTAGTTTGAGTTAATCCTGTTTACAGATCTTTTGCTTCCTGCCCACACTTCTGATGTCTGAATAAAAAGAAAAAACTTGTTAAAATTCCAGATCTTCTCACTTACATATCAATTAAAATTCATAAGAGAAATTGTTCAAGACCTTCTTATATCACAAGTGAATTACATGAAAACACACAGATCTGCTTATTGTGTCCTGGCATTAACAATATCATCATGTATCCAAGCTTTCAGGGAAGAAGCATACTTTCTGAAAAATCTGACTTATTTTTTATATTTCATAATTCATTCACATTTTCATTTAGTTTATTTAAAGTCTACTCAGGAGTTACAGCATGCTTACTGTATGCCAACAGTAGGATATAGCATTAAATAAAGATTATTCTTATAATATTACACCTTCACTTATTACCCTTGGTGAACTCAGTCTTTCAGGAGAGAGATTTGTAATAAACAAACAAATAGAAGGTAAGCACCATGGCATAGTAGGTTAAGTTTCTGCCTGTGGCATAGGCAGCCAATATGGAACGCTCCAGTTGTAATCCAGTTCTCTGCTAATGTTCTTGAGAAAGCAGGAGACTCAGATGGAGTTGTGGACTCCTGGCTTTGGCCTGGCTCAGCTCAGCTCCAGCCATTGTGGCCCTCTGGGTAGTGATCAAGACTTCCCAGAATGAGAAGACTTCTCATTCTCTAATGTCTCTTTCTGTCAGTCTGCCATTCACTGGTTCACCTTCCATCTAAAAGCCTGCAACAGCCAATGCAGAGCCAGACTGAGGCCAGAAGCCTGGAACTCAATATGAGGTCTCCCAGCTATATGACAGTGACCCAAGTACTTGGGCGCATTAGCAGAAACAGAGGAGCCAGGCCCCGACTCAGGGATTCAGATATGAGGTGCAGAACTCCCAAGCTGACCAGGGCAGTAACTTAAAACTTAAAATAAGAACCTTTTTACTAACCCACATACATACGATTTTTTTAAAAGATTTATTTATTTTTATTACAAAGTCAGATATACAGAGAGGAGGAGAGACAGAGAGGAAGATCTTCCATCCAATGATTCACTCCCCAAGTGACCACAATGACCAGTGCTGTGCTGATCCGAAGCCAGGAACTAAGAATCTCTTCCGGGTCTCCCACACAGGTGCAGGGTCGCAAAGCTTTGGGGCCATCCTCGACTGCTTTCCCAGGTCACAAGCAGGGAGCTGGATGGGAAGTGGAACTGCCAGAATTAGAACCAGTGCCCATATGGGATCCCGGAGCGTTCAAGGTGATGACTTTAGCCCCTAGGCCACGCCACCGGGCCCTATACTATTTTAAATGTTAGAACTTTGTGGCTCTCTCTTTCGCACTCTATGCCCTTTTCTGCCAGGGAGCAGTCTTGAACAGACCTTGCCCACTCTCAGAAGACCAGTCCTGACTGTACACACTCTTCTCAGTTTTTCTTTTCTCTCTTTGGCCCATTCATGTTGGGCTTACACTCATATGAATATGTATTTTACTTCCTTGCTACTAAAGAAAATCTGTTCCTAACTGCACACACACACACACACACACACACACACACACACAACCTCTCATTTCAGAACGCCCACCTGTACCACTTTTAAATGAAGATAACTTTTTAAATACTTGTTTAAAACAGTTAATGGAGAGCTTAAAATCAACAGGCCCTGAACACACAACTATTATCATCTCTATTTCTCTGAAAAACAGGAAAATCACTGAGTATCTTATAACTGCCAGGCACCTTGGATTAGCTCTAGGGTGAGAAGTGTTAATAAAAAATGTTATACAAAAAATATTTAGGGTAAGTGCTCTTACTCTAAGAAAATCTAGACTCCCAGAAAATCAATATTTTATCTTGGGCTAACAGCAACAGGAGGGAAACAAAGAGTAGTGGATAACTGAAAGACACTAGGAACTAGAGGCTAAATTATATTTACATTTGTACTTTCCAAAAAACTACACACAGCTCATCCCCAAAATCTCATCATTATCCTTCTACCACTTTTCAAATTTCATCTTGTTTGAATTGCCAAGAGCATCTATTTTATTACCAACTTTTCCTCATTACATAAATCTTTTCCTAATTACATAAAGCACAGCAGAAGTCAAAGATATAAAAGAACTGTTAGTTAAACTCCAGAAACTAAATGTTACTCCTAAAGCTTTCACTTTTCAAATAGATTTGTCATTCAGTTCAGGGGGCCAACTGGATCAAATCCCTAATCACAGCTAACAGCTGAAATGCCTAAAATATTCTCTGGAAATACAAGCAGAGATGGATTGAATATTCTCTTTCCTTGTGATACAATCGGGAGTTGATACAGTAGAGTCACACAATAACTGAAATAGCTTTGATTCTGACAGAAGATGCCAGCTGGTTTCAGGAACAGCTAAAATCAGAGAAAGAGTCCTTGCTAATGTCACCAATCAGTGATAAAGGTAGAAAGAAACCATTAACAAGCTCCTCAAAGCAGTTTCCTAATTTCTTTTCTGGCTAGAAGAGAGATTAAGCCTCTATTTAAATCTATCAAAGCGTTCATAGTTTTAAAAATCATAATGTACCATTATTAATCATTTATTAAATCCTGAAAGTGATGTATTTCAGGAATATGAAAGTCTGTTAAATCATTGTTAAACCTTTATCAAGTTGTACTTATCTTTGCCTTGACCAGTCATATTACCTATTCAATTAACCATATACCAATTGTCTAGTATAAAGCAAGTACCATCTTGTGACATCAAGTAAGGTGTTCTTTAGGGAGTAGTCAAAAAAAAGACTTTTTTTATGTACCTAAATATAGAAAATATGATGTTTTCCTATGAAGAGATCTTCCACCAAATATCCCCTATCTTTTTTCATAATCTCACACATATCTTCACTTCTCCTTTTCTTCCTCTTACCTAAACTACAAAACGTGCAGGAAAGGCAATATGGAATTAAATATAATTAGTTATATGAATTTCTAAAGTGCATAAGCAAGACTATAATGACAGAATGAAACAGCTGCATTATAGCAGGCAGCAGTAAGCCAAGCACTGTTAGTTGGCTGAATATTTGTATGCTTAGGGTTACATGGAAAATAAACACCCAAATACTGAAAGTAAGCACTGACTTCAGAATAGAATAAGCTTTACGCTTGAAATATCACGTCTCTAGGATACAGTCTTAAAAGAAACTAATCTCTTGGCTGCAAACTAACAATTATTCTTCACTGAAGTTACAACAAAACAAAATGTTAGGTCATATATTAATTAAAAGGAATTATATCATCAAAGACTAGCTTACTGTCCCACCACCTATTCCAAACCAAAAAGATCTAAGTACTTGGAGAATCCAAAAACGTCTACTGGTCCCAGGACCTTGACTGTACCTTCATCAATGCCAGTTTATTGTGACACTTTCCTCAATTATTAACCAGGGGAACATATTCCACTTTCATGTTTAAGAGCCTAACAGACCTGGGCAATTAGCTATAAAAAGCTTACTTTTATAAGAGCACAAACGTGTCACCCAAAAATGTTTAACTAAACTATTCACTCAAGCTTAGAAAACAATTAGCCAAAAATTTCTACATATTATTTGCAAGTGGCAGATTTGAGCAATAGCAAGAGAAACAACCTCGAGGACAGACAAGCACACTACAAAAC